ACTCCCCCACCCCATCATTCTTCATGGACAATTTGCTAGTTCTTCTATAAAGTTCTTGAAGATCAAATATTGTGCATCTAACCTCTTCTCCCTCTAAAGCAGTGGTTCTCAACCTTTTTTGTACCAGGAACCATTTGCAAACATCAATGGTAAGTCCCAACCCAGTGCCTTTCATTCCCAACCCGCTGCCCCCCTCCCAGGCCCCAGCCCCCCAGTGTGTGTGGCAGGAGATGGGTGTGTGGGGCATGGGGTGGCCCTAAGCAGCCCCTCATAGGCTGGAATTCTTCCAGTCTGCAAGGGAAAAACTACAATTTCCAACATTTTCCTTCTTTAAAGGAGAATTCATTTTTCAAGTTTGTTAATCTATTTTTAAAGTGTGTTTGTGAACCTTTCATATATTCTTGTGACCCACTTTTGGGTTACGACCCACAGGCTGAAAAACACTGCTCTAAAGTACATCCCTTTAACCTGTCAGGCATTTATGTCTGGAGGAATACATTCTTTCAGATATAATGGTTACAAATCCAGTCTTCCAGTTCTAGTCAAACATTTGGGTAGAAGATTGTTTCTCTTAAAAAGTAATTTTCCTTCCTGGGTCAGGCCTTAGAGACTTACCTAGGTACCAGATATGCACTGCTCTGCAAATGTAACTTTTCAGTGTTTACTTCTCACAACTATTTGAGCTTTGATCTGGGGTGTGAATAGCCTTTGTCCTTTCTGAAGTGTCATCCACCCTATTTGACCTGTTATCATACAAGGGTATAGAACTACATTTATATTAAACAGCAAAATTCATGCAAACAGACACATAACAAAATCAGCCATATTTAGCTGTTTATAGACAGAAAATACTCTATATCAGTAAAACTAATTCATGCAAACATGCAGGACATCCCACAAATATTTCAAAATAGTGCAAGTTTGTGTCAATTGTCTCTTAGTTATTTCTCACACAGGTACTAATCATTGGCTAAATTTTATTTCCAAGCCCTCATCGCCTGACAAAAGAGTCAGTGTTATAAGATGATTAATACCTCTAGTACCTTAATAGAAGTTGGTATGCTCTGACTCATGTTACTGTTAAGTATTTGTATAGTATTAATTTGAAACCTTCTTCCTAAAAGTGAAATGTGATATTTAAAATTTTATTTTATTCTGATGACTGACTTGCTTGGAAATTGGTTTTAACAGCAGAAGCTTAAAACTATTCTAATTAACATGTTTTGGAAAGATTTTTTTTTTAAAGATGCTGCTGGGAAGTCATTGAAGATAGAGTGTGTTAAGTATTAGAGTGTATTATGTATTTGTGAAGCTTGAATTATAGTAATCTGATTGTGGAGAATGGTTTCAGATTTTTTTTCTCCACAAACTCTTCCTGAAAACCTCCAGGAATAGGGCCAATTTTCCTTATTGGTTCTTCCTTGAAAATCCACATTAGTAAAAGTAATATTATTTCAGCCAATTTTTGCAAACATTTAACACAGGGTACCTAGCCTCCCACTTCCTCCCTTCATTTGATTTCCTAAGATTTCTTACTTGGAGGATGGGAGGGGAAGGGGGTTATTCCTGTGCTCAGTTTAAATGTATTTACCTTTTCTTTACCTACCTCTCAACACTTTGTTCTCCATACCATATTAAGCAAATTTCTGGTGGTTGCTACCCACAGGACTTAAGTTCTCTTCTCAGTAATATTTCCGTAATTTTTCCTATCCAAATAAATCATGTTTATTTGACAGACCAAGATTTCTGTGGGTGATATCATTCATTGGATCAACTGCATGATTGGGATACACTCAGGCAAAGTCATGAACGAGGTCCATTCTTTTTCAAGTCACTGAAGACTTGAAAAAATGCACTGCATTCAAAAACTGGTCTAAATCTATCCCAGCCATACAGTTGGTCTAATAAAAGATTTAAGCCACAGAAAACCTTGCCTTTCACATCTTTGCCATTAAACCTATTCAACATTGTTGTTCTTTAGTCTTCCATTTTGTCTGGAACTCTTGGGGACAGAAAGACAGACAGAAACATCTTTTCACCTCAAAACATCCAAAGAAGCATACAATATAGGCTCAATTGTGACTGCCTGAGTTTTGGACACTTTGCTACTGGAGGCAACCATATCACATAATCCCTCTGCTGACCTGTTCAGCTCCATTTTAAAACTAGTTACATTTTTGTATCTATTATTTCTATTAGAAGGCTGTTCAACTACCTCATATTATCATCCCACCTTCCATCTCCTGCCCCTAATGTCATAGCTGCTACAGAATTACTTTCCTAATGTCAAAAGTTCCCATATTTTTAAGCACCTTCCCATCTCTCAGGCTTTATCTGTCACATCTCATGTATAAACACAGTACAGCATGCATAGTTGATATAGTCTTACTTTCTTTTTAAAAGTAATCATTCATGGATTGTGATGCTTGCTGGGGTACATTTTAATGACAGCTGTACTAAATAAATTTGTTTTATTTCAAGTACTTCTTTTTTTTTATTTCCTTCCTTTTCCTTACACTCTCACCATCATCAGGCGAACATGAAAATGCTCTTTCAAAGACAGTGAATGGTATTTTCAAGTGGGTCTATTTATTGTGTATTGACAAATACCCTTTCTTCCTACCTTCTGTGATTTTCACATTGTAGTTGAAAAGTGGATTCTTTTATGTGTGGTTCCACCCTGAAAACTATTATAAAAATAGTATAAAATATTGTATTTCAACCATCTCTATCCTAAATGCATCTGTTTTATAAATAAAAAGGTATTTTCAAATTGTCAGATCTGCAAACTCAGCTTTGAAGTTGGGCTCATCCCTTTTAAACAGTATGAATGGAATTAGTGTCTTGGAGAAAAAAAAAGTAATAATTTGGGCATATGCAACCTTATTCCTTTCAGAGAATGCCCTTAGCAATACTTATTCAAACCCATTTCTTCAAATGGATTTATAAAGATGTAAACAATTAGAATTCTGTTGACAATATGCAAGGAAGAATGAATTCCAGCAGGCTCTTACAACCCTATGGAGCCTCCAATCTTAGCAGTAGTGAAACACATTAAAAACCTGTCACTAAAACAGGTAGATCTATCTTTGACTGACATCAAGGCATAGATCTCTTGAATTGATGCTGTTGTTTTCTCCAGTCTCTGTGAATACAAACATACTTTAAGGCATATTCACTATTATAATATTTATCACAAAAGCAAGGTGAAGATTTTGAGTATGCCTCAGGCTCTTTAATTATACACTGATTTGCTATATTTTCTTTTTGGCATTATCATGCTATAACATATATACTATAACATATATATAAGGAAGTATAAGCCTGAAAAACTAATAGTTGCTTGATCACTAGAAAATATTGTATATGTTATCGTGTTATATTGTATTGTGTGTGTGTATGTGTGTGTATGCCTGTAGTCTCCCATGCCCTTCACCCATGTGTCGTGTCTGGAGGGCCTTTTCTGGTTTTGCCATTGCTTAAAGAAGAGACAGGCTTGTTACTGGGCTAGATCCAGGAAGGTCCCTCAGGTGTTCTTTCCTGCCACGTCCTGCTGGAATAAATTATTTTTATTGGGAGGAAGATAGTTTGCCCTGACCTTCCCAGTACATTCCTTCAATCTTCCCAACTGTCCTTTCTCTTTGGGGCTCCACTTCCCCTACACCCCACCTAATGCCAGTCAAAGATGTTGTTTCCAGATTACTAGAGCTGGTACAGTATGCACTGTGGTGTTTCAGCCCTCTGAATTTATGACAGTCAGATTGGGATGTTATCTCATCCAAGTTTTTCCTGATCATACTTTGTGCTGTCTAAGCATTTTCTAAACCCTGGGTTACCTTGCTCCCCGGTGTCTCTATCTTGGTTCTATACTTGGCATGGCTCAGATGTCCATCTGTTCTTGTCCCTTCAGGTCCCGCATGGATCCAGTCTGGGTTGGAGATGTCCAATGTCCATGGTGCTTTTTCAGGTAAGTCACTGAGCCTTGTTTGGCTCTGCCTATCTTCAAAAGCCCCTTCCTGGGGTAGCCACCACATCCCTTCAGTGGGACTCTGTACTGTTCCTGGCTGCTCTGGGCCCATCAGAAACCTCACTTCCAGTCCTCCCAGCTGTTCTTCCACCAGGCTTTTTATCCTGGTCTCACGGGGCCGGCCAGTAAATTAGCCCCG